CTTAAAAGGTTCATTCTCAGAGACATATTGATAGCAGTCTTTATCGTAGGCATATGTTATTGAACGAAACTCTTCTCAACAAAACGCATCTCTTAGCGTCAGGTCATAATAAAACTGTCAAATGAAATTTAGAGACTGATTTTTTTCCAAATTCTCCTATCCAGGGATATTTAATTTAACAAAACTTCCTCAACATGCAACGCTTCGAATCCAAATTAAATATAAATATGTTTATGCTAACTGCAAAATGAAAATAATATTTTCCAAATTTTTGAGGGTCAAGATATATGTTTCCGAAAGTATTTAATAGTTCTTAATAAACAAATTAGCGAAACGATGTTTATGACGCCCGCCGTCTCGTTCGATCCTCGTTACCTGGTGATGGAAGAGACTAGAGTCTAAACGAACTCGCACAAGTATCAGGCTCGATGGGTTCAGTCTCAAGTATTAGGGTCGAGGGAAAGGAATCTCAAGTATTAGTCAAGTATCAGGGGCTGAGGGTCAGGAAGCTCAAATATAAAGGTCGAGACATATGAGTGTAAGGAAGCCTAAGTATCAGTGGTTTGGAGTGTGACTGTGCATAGCTGCTTGTGGCTTCTTGTGTTTAGGATTTAATGTGCTGAGTTTTGTGGGGATATGAAAATATATTATGTGGTTAGTGTGAGTATATATGATATGTTGGAGGGCAAGGGGTGTGTGGGGCACATAATGTGTGGCTGGGCATTAGTGAGAGGGGGCACATAATATGTGGCTGGGCATGAGTGAGAGGGGGCACATGATGTGTGGGGCATATGATATGTGGATGGGCATGGGGGAGTTGGGCACATGATAGGTCGGTGGTCATATGTGAGAGGGGGCACATGAAGGCCCTTCCACACATATGGTTTGTGGACATATATGTGGTGTGGTCGTAAAAGGCGCTGTGAGTGTGGCGTGACGGTGCTGGACCTATCTCTCCTTGGCGATAAAACTCTATGGCCTCACCCATGCCCAATTCATATATTAAATGCCCTGGTCCCAAAAATACTACTAGTATTTAAATAATGTTTTCAATAAAGATGTTAATAATAATAAGTATTAAAACAAAACTTATTACACTGCCCAACAACGACAGTAATATCAGTTTTACTATATATATATATATATATATATATATATATATATATATATATATATATATATATATATATATATATATATATATATATATATATATATGTATATATATATATATATATATATATATATATATATATATATATATATATATATATATATATATGTATAAATATATATATATATGTGTGTGTGTAAAAGGTTTAATTTTAAAGACAATAAGCCTCCAAATGAATGAAACAATAGCAGGTACTTAGAACGATGTGCTTCTCGTATTGTTGAAAACATTTAAGTAATTTGTTTAACATACGTGCGAATGTTAATCTTCAGAAACAGAATGCAAATCTGACCGAAGAATTTAGAAAAAGGCGAATTAACAGTAAATATGACGAAATAATAAATGTGTCCTTACCTGGGATACCTAAAAAAAAATATTAACAATAATGTTAATTCACAATCAAACTTTTTGTAAATGTTAATTTTAATTATTTGTTTAAATTACAATTGAAATATAATAAAATTAAAAATATAAATGAATAATAATAATAATAATCTAATATATCTGTATTTATGTAGAGATTTGAATTACACCAAGTCTTTCGCACTCTCATGAGTGTATTATCAAGGTCTGAGTATAAGGCTTGGAGAAAACTTACATCTCAACGACTAATACACAAACCTTGACAATGCACGTACGAGAGTACGAAAGACTTGCTGTGGCTGGATATACCTGGTGTAATTAAAATCATTACATAAAATACATAAATACATAAGTTTGAGTTTTTATCTTATGTTATTTTCTCTGTTATAAGACATTACCATTACTTCATAATAATATTATTATTATTAATGATAATAATATACTCTAACTATTCTTTGCCGTATATTCACCTCTCAACACGGAATAGATGTGGCTGGTCTGTGTGCTCTGCAAAGTTCTCAAAACGCTCACATCCACCCACCTACTTACATTAAACCTTCATTCTTCAAGAAGAAACCAATAAACGAGAACTACCACATATGACAATCAGGCAGATCCTGTGTGCGGACAGAACAGTTTCGACTCTCAAATTCAGACAAAAAACATGAGTTTTAAACTCTTTTTGACAACAGGATGGCTTCTAAAAGAGTGTCACTTCAATTATTCACACGTCATTTAAATGAATGTATGATAGTATAAAAGTGTAATGATATGCACCTGAGGGCATGATCCACATTGCTTGATAATTGTACTAGATGATGAAATTCTGAGTTTGCAACAACCATATGTAACTAAAATGAGGGGGAACTAATAATAATAAAAATAAAAATAATTGCAATAACAATTACTATTATTATTATTATTATTATTATTATTATTTTATTAATTTTTTATATGAAATATTACTATCATTATCACTAATTGTCCAATTATTACTTTCACTATTATGTTCCTCAATCAGGCCAGCATCGAGAAATGAGTCACGCTAAGAGACGCTTTCAATACAAGATTTGAGTGTCAATAGACCTGAGTGAAAACTTAGGACTCAGGACCCGGGACAGTACGTTAAGTGAAATAAATAAGCAACTTGATAGAATCCGGCCCCGTCCACCAGCAGAGGGCACTAGTACCGCTCAGCCAACGGGACCACCATGCACAATGACCAAGAAAGCAACATAACTGAGAATGTTTTTTGGATTACCAAGAAATTATATAAAAAGACTATGATCTTTAAATTCCAAAAAATCCGCCTGCTCATGTAATGTCATATTGTGAAAATTGTGTGTGTGTGTGTGTGTTAACGAGTGCCCTCCTGAAGAATTTAAATTGCATATCACATAGAACGAGGAAAAAAGAGGTGAAGTAAAGCGAGACGGAATCCGGGAAAAATTATTACAATAATGAATATATACACAGCCTAAAAATATGAAAGAAAGAAATAAGGACAAGAGAAAAATGAAGGCAAAAAATATTTGCGTGTCTCTGGCTCTCGTGCACACTCCTAATATGTTTAAGTGTGCGAAAAACACGCTGAAATAGTAAAAAACATCACAAACACACAAACAAACACGTACATTCAACACGTTCTCTCTTTCCCTCTTTATTTTCCAGTACACACACACACACAACGGATGAAAAAGTGTGTGTGTGTAAGTAGTCGCTTGAATTTTGCTCAGTTCCCCCTGCTCCACAATTGTGAGACTGACCATTAAGTAATGCTAAATAAGAGAGTCAATCCTACGTCCGGCCATTTAAAAGGTAACGAAGAAAACTTGCGTACCTACTCCAGTACTCCATATAGGAAGGTGCACTCTGTTAGACGGTGGAGAGGGGAAGCTGACGTCGTAGGACGGTGGAAAGGGCAAGATGACGTTTATTAGCCGGGTGAGAGGGCAAGATGACGTTTATTAGCCGGGTGAGAGGGCAAAATGATGTTTATTAGACGAGTGAGAGGGCAAGATGACGTTTATTAGACGGGTGAGAGGGCAAGATAACGTTTATTAGACGAGTGAGAGGGCAAGACGATGTTTATTAGACGGGTGAGAGGGCAAGATGACGTTTCCACCTAAGTATTTTCTCATTTCCCCTCCAATCTAAATATAAAATAAAGTAGGGTATTTTATAACGAATTTCCGTTTCGGGTTGAGAGAAAGAGAGAGAGAGAGAGAGAGAGATAGAGATAGATAGATAGATAGATAGATAGAGAGAGAGAGAGAGAGAGAGAGAGAGAGAGAGAGAGAGAGAGAGAGAGAGAGAGAGAGAGAGAGAGAGAGAGAGAGAGAGAGAGAGAGAGATAGAGAGAGAGACACACACAGAGAGAGAGAGAGAGAGATACGTAGACAACGACAAAGACAGAAGTTGAAGAGATTCATCGTTCACTCCCTCAACACTCCACCCCCCCCCCCCCCCATCCACTACCACCCCACACAGGAAACTGGTGATGTGTGTCAAACTCAGCTACCCGCAGCCCCCGTCATTACCGTCTGAAACTTGATTGAAAATTTCACTATGAACGAGGCAGCTCGCAGATCGGGAGGGATTGATTTTAACGATGAAAAATGTGCAAATATATGGTGTAGTTGGGCCTCCTGGGAATTACAATGCAGGCGGCGTGCATGGTGTTGGTAGCAGAGACGAGCGGTGAGACTGAGAAAGTAACAAATATATATATTGCAACTCAAAAGTCATTATATTTTATAATAACTTTTTGCGTCAAGCAGGAGAGTAAAGAACAGCGACGGATTTATTTTCGTGACGCATGAAGGAGTCCACATAATTCAGCCTTATATTTTTACGCACAAATGATTATATTCACAGATACCGCATTTCCAGGAGTTTATTTTTTGTCATTCTTTAAGAGAATTGGACAAGGCCACGGGTGTTGAGTGGCGTGATGTGTCGAGGTCAGGTGAGACGGAATGAGGAAGCACGAAACAGACTGAACAACTGAATTGATAATAGATAAATCAATAAGAACAATGAGACCAATAAAGTCGTATTATCTATAACAACAAGCATCCATTCCTAGGACCTTCTTTGGTATTTATTGTATAACCACAATATGTTGTATTAAAATGATTTATAACTCCTGTAGCAATGAAATCTGAGTTATCATAATCAGATGAACCTATATTACAAGTCTCTCGACCTAGATACCTATATAGTGGGTTTAACGTAACGGCTTAACCCCACCTCCGACTCCGAAGATGAATAAAGCTGGAGGGAACAGAGATGTAGGACCAAACAGGACCACGGAGGAAGGTACATTCTTAGTCTGTTTTCTATCTTTTGCCTTAAGATAGCCTTCGCAAACTACACTCAGCGAGTGATGTTGAAACAGGCTATCATGAACCCAAGATCCCCTTCAAATACTAACGAAGGTGTACTTCGAAAAGTCGGTGTCCTATGGGGAGGTGGTGTCCTTCAGGAAGGTGATTTCCTTCCGGAAGGTAATGTCCTTCAGGAAGGTGATGTCTTCCAGGAAGGTAATGTCCTTCAGGAAGGTAATGTCTTCCAGGAAGGTAATGTCCTCCAGGAAGGTGATATCCTTCAGGAAGGTGATATCCTTCAGGAAGGTAATGTCCTTCAGGAAGGTAATGTTCTCCAGGAAGGTAATGTCCTCCAGGAAGGTGATGTCCTTCAGGAAGGTAATGTCCTTCAGGAAGGTAATGTCCTTCAGGAAGGTAATGTCCTTCAGGAAGGTGATGTCCTTCAGGAAGAAGTAGCAAAGCTGAACGAGGCGAGGCAGGGCCAGCCGGGAATATAACGAAACGAGGCGGGTCGGGAAAACTAAAGAAAAATTAAAGATAATAAGACGAGTGAAAACAGCAGGAGCGGGAGGAGAGGCGGGATAATAGCAGGAAATACAATGAGAGACAAGACGTGGGAAAACAGATCGCGGCGAGGTCGGACGAGAAGAGGAAGGCCATGCATTTAGAGCTCAGGACATTAATCATCAAACTCCTAAAACAAAATGGCTTCCCAGAGCAATAAATCAGGTGGCGGAGCACCGATGGAGACCAAAATGGCGAGCATAATGAATCTACTAACGGGATTACCTACAGGTATGTTTCTCCAGTTCACCCGAAAATAACACTAGGAACATTCCTTGGTACACCCCTCGGATATATATACTCTGTGTTCTTAGCGTCGTCGTCGTCGCCGCAGTCAATGGAAGCAGCATCTACTTCTTGTTTAGGTTCAACACTGACATTAAAGCCCGATTAAACACTGGAGGATGATAACAAGTATAATTTAGTTCTGAATATAATCGACGACTGAAGAAACTTCGTAAACGCCTGGAGAAGTGGAATATGCCTACCTCAGGGTCAATACTCTAAGCAGTTCCATACATCTCAACGAATATACACCGAGAAGCGAGCAGCTGAATACAAAATTAAATGAAAAAGTCAATTAACAACTTTGGACATAAAATAAATATGACGGTTTTCATATTGAAGAAAGTTACATCCAGGAGTATACACCGTCATGCTGAGTTAAAACTACTTATGAAAAGAATAAGTAACTTTTAACCTTCAGATATGCTGAAAAGTCAAACTAGTAAAGATAACCATATCATCCACTTAGGCTATCGGGAATCGAACTCTGTCCTGCAGGATGCTGAATCGCCCCCTTTAGTTATACACGTATTTTAGCAAACACCAATCAAAATACAACATTATACGTGATGGGAGAGAGCGAGTCATCTTACTCGCTAGCTGCTAAACACAAATATATCGGTGCCATATTTATCAAAACATAAATTGGGAACGATTAGACCAGTAGCTGTGACGCGCTTTAATATTTATTTTGACATTATAATTAATTTATAACCAAGTGGTCTTTTGGAAGCGCTTCTGCTAAGACTCTCAACAAAATTAATTATACGCAAGGGGAAAAGTTACAATACGGTGTAGTGTGAGGAAAATGAATATAGAGATATCTGAAGCAATTGTGGCCCCTTTGCAACGCTCTAATTTACTATTACAATAAAGAAATAATTCGGATATCTATATTGTGTATCTATTTACTATTTGTGGCTTCAGGATCGAGCTGCTAGCTCTTGGAACCCGCCTTTCTATCCAATGGTTGTCTCCTCTGACTCCCCCACTTATATCAGATCTACTACATATATTTCCCTCTAACACGCATCACCATGTTGCAGCCTGTGCCAGCTGCCTAGCTCCCAGGTACCTATTTACTGCTAGGTAACAGGGGCATCAGGGTGAGTCGATTCCCGGCGTTCTCGCCGGCGCCGGGAATCGAGCCCTGGACCACAGTATTAAGTGTAGAGCGTGCTGTCCACTAAGCCACCAGCCCCTGTGTGTGTATTTATTCACCTAGTTGTATATCTAGGTGTGCTTGCGAGGGTTGAGCTCTGCTCTTTCGGGCCGCCTCTCAACTGTCAATCAACTGTTATTAACTACTATTTTTTTCACACAAACATACATCTCCGGGAAGCAGCCTGTAACTGCTGTCTAACTTCCAGGTACCTATTTATTGCTAGGTAACAGGAGCATCAGGGTGAAAGAAACTCTACCCATTTTTGGTTCTCGCCAGCGCCGGGAATCGAACCCAGTCATGTGTGTGTATGTGTGTATGTGTGTGTGTGTGTGTGTGTGTGTGTGTGTGTGTGTGTGTGTGTGTGTGTGTGTGTGTGTGTGTGTGTGTGTGTGTGTACTCACCTTGTTGTGCTTGTGGTGGTTGAGCTCTGGCTCTTTAGTCTAGCCTCTTGTATGTACTTACCTAGTTAGTTGTGAACTAGGTAAGTACAGACAAGTACACATAAGTAAGTTTCCTTTGTGTGTGTGTTTGCGCGTTTGCGCTTGGGAAAGAGCACGTGTGAGCGTATGTGCCAGTGTGCGAACACTAAATCCTTGATCAGTAGAATTTATCTGCGTAAAAATCACAACCATAAAATATTACATGTCTCCAAAATGAAAGTGATTTTGATGCACAACAAACCACTCCTCGCAGCTCATGTCCACACGCGCGTGCACCCAAACTCTCACCCTCCCCCCCCCTCACCACCTCCCCAAACTAAAGCTGATCTGCTTCTCGGAACTAATAATGAAAATTGTTTCGAAAAAGGTTGAAAAATACCCATAATTCACGACACACACCAGAGCGCCACCTGAACACTAGACAGATTGCTCATGTATTCCTGAAAGGAAATATTTGTTATATAAATGAATATCTGTGAATGTGAATACTCACCTAGTTGTGCTTTGGGGGGGGGGGGTGGAGATTTGGCTCTTTGGTCTGTGTGTGTATGTGTGTATTCACCTAGTTGTACTCACCTAGATGTGCACACACCCAGGAAGCAGCCCGTAGCAGCTGTCTAACTTCCAGGTACATATTTACTGCTACATGAACAGGATCATCAGGGTGAAAGAAACTGTCCATTTGTTTCCGCCTCCTCCGGGAATAGAACCCGGACCCTTAGGACTACGAATCCCGAGCACTGTCGACTCAGGCATCAGGCCCTCTGTGTCTCTGGCTCTTTGGTCCCGCCTCTCAACTGTCAATCAATTGGTGTACAGATTCCTGAGCTTACTGGGCTCTATCATATCTACATTTGAAACTGTGTATGGAGTCAGCCTCCACCACATCACTGCCTAATGCATTCCATCTGTTAACTACCCTGACACTGAAAAAGTTCTTTCTAACGTCCCTGTGGCTCATTTGGGTACTCAGTTTCCGCCTGTGTCCCCTTGTTCGCGTACCACCCGTACTAAACAGTTTATCATTATCTACCCTGTCAATTCCTCTGAGAAGTGTGTAGGTAGTGATCATGTCTTCCCTAACTCTCCTGTCTTGCAGAGTCGTGAGGTGCATTTCCCGCAGCCTTTTCTCGTAACTCATGCCTCTTAGTTCTGGGACTAGCCTGGTGGCATACCTCTGAACGTTTTCCAGCTTCGCCTTGTGCTTGACAAGGTACGGGCTCCATGCTGGGGCCACATACTCGAGGATTGGTCTTACATATGTGGTATACAAGGTTCTGAATGATTCATTACACAGGTTCCTGTAGGCAGTTCTGATGTTAGCCAGCCTCGCATACGCCGCATATGTCATTCTCTTGATGTGGGCTTCAGGAGACAGGTTTGGTGTGATATCAACTGCTAGAACTTTCTCTCTGTCCGTTTCATGAGGGACTTCATCTCCCATTCTGTATCCTGTGATTGGCCTCCTGTTTCCACTGCCTAGTTTCATTACCTTGAATTTACTCTGGTTGAACATTAGTAGCCATTTGTTGGACCATTCATTCAGTCTGTCTAGGTCATCTTGTAGCCTCATACTATCTTCCTCCGTCTTAATCCTCATAATTTTGGCATCATAAGCAAACAATGATAGGAATGATTCTATACCTCTCTGGTAGATCATTTACATATATCAAAAACAGTATGATCCAAGGACTGAACTCTGCGGGACTCCACCGGTGACGTCTCGTGACGTGTGGCCAGTCGCCAGTGTGTGTGTGTGTGTGTGTGTGTGTGTGTGTGTGTGTGTGTGTGTGTGTGTGTGTGTGTGTGTGTGTGTGTGTGTGTGTGTGTGTGTGTGTGTATTTACTGTATTTACTATATTTACTATTTGTACCTGCAGGATTGAGCTGCTTGCTCTTGGGCCCCGCCTTTCATATCGTTGGTGGTCGTATGAGCTGACTATAGACATATATTTTTTCCTTATCATATCTACTACATATGTTTCTTCCACAAAAGTAATAACGGCCAGTTATTACTTTTGTTGGAGAACTCAACTGACTCTACCCTGTGGTCTAGTCAGCCGAGAGCTAGCTATATGCCAGCCAGAGTAGGTGTGTAGTGTGTCAGGAGTGAGCCAGCGGGTCGGAAGCGAGGATGGTGTAATCTCTGGAGCAGCAACAAGCACTAGGTGGAGGCGCCCACAGAAGGCCAGGGACAATAGCAGGATGTGTTGCCTGTCTCAGAGCTGGAGACCCGCCATCGCCTTCCAACAAAAGCCTTTGTTATTTTTTCTATCTCTCTTACCCAACATATGATTAGCAAGTTCCCTTATTTATATAACATTTTTTAAACACATTCAACCAGTTATAACTCCATGCGAATGCCTTCATTCGATATTCGCAAGCCAATGACGACTACAACATATTATATGGATCGAGGATCAAGCTTGCATCTGACAGTAACAAACAGAATATTTAGTTCTGTTATAGCGTTACTGGAGCGGGTCCCTCGCAGTTAGGATACGGACAATAATAGCGAAAGAGGAAAAATCGGAATGGCGAGCTGTCACAAGGGGAGGCGGGGGACCCAGGAATCGGAATTGGGAACCTTTCTGTACCTGATTATTGACAATGAGCTCATAAATAAGATAATTCATACACCAGCTTATGAATAATGCAAAAGTGATGTTAATATATAGAAAAAAGGATGGCTGCAAGAGACTACAATAAGAGCTGGATGGTTCTGTCAATCCCCCCTCCCTCTGTGTTGGGTAGCGGCTCTCAAGTCCTCTGTTAGATAAAGTCTGTCATGTTCAACGAGACTATTCGGTAGTCTTCGTTCACAGGTACACCGAAACTTCAGTAGCCGTCATTCACACGAGGAACAAAACTGTTGGGTAGTCGTCTCTCACACCCAAAGCGAGAGTATTGGGTCGCAGTCTCTCACCTGCAACGAGATAGCTCAGTGGTCCTCTCAGGAAGAATGAGACCATTGAGCAGTCGTGTCTCGCACTAACAGCGAGACTATTCGGCAGCTTGCTTACACCCGCACAACGAAACTGTTCGGTAGTCATCTTCCACATGGCCAAAAAATACAATTATTTTGCGGATTTTTCAGGATGAGGGCGTTTGTGGATGGGACGGGCGTACTCTGGGCCGGTGTGGTTGATAGCCCTCCGCCACACCTCCTCCCTGTTCGCCAGACGAAGCAGGCCATCAGCGAGCACCTCAACACTGCCTGGCGCTCGTAAAGATGGAGGGGCCGGACTCAGAGATGGCGACATGTCCCCATGATCATCTGCACAATTTTGGTAGTTTGATCATAGAAAGACTTTTAACAATATTATATATATTATATATGCGTGTGTGCGTGAGTTTATGAGTGTACACGCACGAATGTATATATCATCAAGAGGCAGACTGATAGTTCAATCAAGATGCAATGAGTATAATCATAACCAAGTCTACTCCACTTAATCTACATACATAGTCATTGACGCATATGTATTAAGATCTTGGAATGATAAGAACTCAAGTATTCCACAACGACGTAAATTGAATGTAAAGTCGCTACTGTAGAGAATATCAACGAGACATCTCTATGCGAGCTCATTCACTGTGCATTTTTCCTGAAAACTTTAAATTGACGTTACTAGTCACCAATGCAACAACAACGAGATTAAATGTGCAGATTGTTGCTATGCTGTTCACATATTCACGACCAAAGTTTAATTGTATGTTTCTTCTAGAAGCAAATTGTAACATGAAATTAAAATAATTTAAATGTAAAACCAATACACCGTTAGCAAGAAAAGCTTTATCAAATAGTTACAGATTCATTAGACATAGGGATTTGACAAAATTTTCTTGCATATTATATTGATTAATCATGGAAAGAGTTGTATAAATAATGCAATGATATCAAAACATATTTTCCAATAAAGCAAATGCAACAAGCTAAAGCCCGGTGAATAAATAAATTGGAGAATTACAGGCTAAAAAAAAGAGGGAGAGGGGATATTGTTTTTGTTTGTTCTATTACATATATCTGTTGTTATCAGTGTCCTTTTGCAACTAATAAATAGGGAGTGGTTGGAATTTTAATATATATGTTATTTTCTTGCGGTTACTCAGTGTTTTCTCCTTTCAGGTCCTGAAGTACAAGGTGAAGCGAATACAATTATTCATCCCTCACATATTAAGACTGATTTGGATAATTCATGAAAGTTTCTAATGCAGTAACACAATCTTCTATTTTAGATATAAAATTCTTAGGGTGTTTCGGGCTTGTGGACAGGTAATGTCCCTCTAATGTGGGATCAATCGCGTTCAAACCATGTTTCTGTGCTGGCATGCGAAGTTTACGCATGCCTCTACCTGAGGCATGCTGAACTACCTCTGTTCCCGAAATAAACAGCACCAACGCATGTTCTTCCTCTGTTGTTGGGCGAAAAGTAGCCAACATATAATCAACCACCTCTGTTTTCCTACTCAACGGGCCCAACACATGTTCCTCTGTTCCCGGGCAAAATTTATGCAACATGTGATGAATTACCTTTGTTTCCGGATTAAACGGACAAAAATTATGGCGTAGTTCCTCTGTTGCACGACTAAATGGAACCGTCAGATGATGCAATGTCTCTGTTGTCGGATAAAATAAACCCAACGACCAGTAATGTATCACTGTTGCCGGAGACTAAGATAGTATGACAGCTACTTTGCATACCTACGAGAACTTTGGCAAATTGCACGGCTTAAAGTAAATGAAAGACTGAAGAATTTTATGATTTGGTAATGGAAAGCGAGAGAGAAATAGAAAACGCATAACTAATAACATTACACGAAAATAAAAAAAAGAACAATACAGAACGTGATGTAATCTACATAAATACAAGAATACATAACACATAAAACGACAAGGGGTACATGAAGAACATCAGACAGACGAAGGAGAAGACAGCTCATCATTACCAATCAAAATCATTCACATAATCCTCACATTCATTGTACCATGTCTACCTATTGGGTAGAAAAGGTCTTCTTCCTCCATAAATCCACTTCATCGGCAGCATCCTTGAATTTGATGAAACAGAAAATACAGAAAAACTTTTCACCTACAAAACAAAAGAGAGTAACTCACCTCCCAGTCGTGCCGCTCGAAGACTTGCAACATGCAAACCTACATTCATCGTTGCGTGGGGTAGTACTTACCAGAGGTCCAGGGGCAGTTGTTCCGAGCTGTGGATTGAATGCAAGCAATCATCGCTAGGGTTTCAGAGATGCTTGGGGAAAAGCGATCCTACGAACACACACACAATGGCTAATGGTAAAATAAAAGCTCTTTTATGGGTTAACAATAAACGCGAAAAAAATGAGAATGCATATGCAATTAAATGCTGGATTAATATGGGATTAATTAAAGTTAATTGTATTTGGGAGCAGAGCCTGTCTGACAACTTTAAATCATGCTATTAGTGACACACAGAAAGCAATTATGTAGCTATCCATTTTGATGGCATGGCACACAATTAGAAAAACAAACTAAAGCAATTCCGTCCTAATGTTTGTCATATCCGACAGACAGAAAGCTTACTCATCTCAGCTGTGGGAGCAACCATGTGATGGACGATTCCTTGACGGGATCCCGCTGGCTGAACCACTCCCAATAGCTAAGATGACTAAGCTAAGTGACCTAATATTTCCAGCCTTTGTAAAATTTAACATAAAACAAGTTCAAAATAGAAGATCAAGAGATAAAATATTACTAATGGCTGGAAAGTAAAGACATGAGTAAGCTAACACAGAACAGTTGACGCGTTTTCAAAGGTTGCAGAAGACAAGCATATACCGCATGTCCAAAGACAGAAAGAAATATCAAGCTTGTACAGGTCAGACGTATTGATAACATCGTTGTAAACGACGGAGAACTAAAGGTTTTAAAACATGGTAGGGTAACAGAGGAGAATCACAAGTTAAAGGTAAAAAAACAAGGGAGCCAAACAGCGTTAAAAAAAAAGGGAGAGAAAACTGAAATGAAAAAGCGAGACGGTAAGCTGTGAATGTTTCTGGCAATATTTCTCAACCTGTGGAGTTTTCTTTAGCACCTTTTTCATTGCGGAAGTTTTCTAGAGAACACAAACACGCCTGTCTTGTACACTGCTGTTGACAGCCACCTTTAAAATTTCGTGAGATGAAAAGAACTATACTGTCCTGTCTTATTTCTCTGCAGTTTCTCGTGTATGGTCATTAAATATTTAATTTCAGCATTTTTTAGGAGTAACAGGTTACGGCTTATAAGTATTTATTTTGCGGTGGGAAATAAATAATTCAAGACAATAATCTTAGCTGCACAAACAGGATTATCATCTTTTGATTTCAAGCTTAAGGATGTAAGTATAAACAACAGTTTCATGAGAGTTTTAGACTTAAGATATAAACATTTTTATTACCATTAAGCTGAGAAAGTGTAGCTTTTCAGCCTATGTCAGGAGAAATATTATGTAAAAGGATATTTTATATTTCAGACGTCCCATTCCTACTCAACGGCTCTAGCGGCAGCTGGTAGTATGAGGAATGTTGGTAAATATAAACACCTGAGATTTATGTTTAGACAAACAAAAACACCTCATGCTTATGTTTACTAGATGTATATTGGAGACAACACAAGTGTCTAATTACCGGGAAATTTGAGACAGGAATCCTGGGAATAGTTAAACCAAGAATCCCGGAAACAAACGAATATTGAAACGTGGGACTTCGGGGATGGATGTAATCTGGAATCATGGAAAGAAACACATCCTAACTTCAGACGCCAAGGTGGAATTAGAATTCAAGAGTTCAGATGAAGTCTGAAACCAGTTAAATTTAAATCTGGAACGCCGCGAATATTCGAAATCTTTGCAGAGTTGGAAGTATAAGATCGTATGCACATCTGAAACTGTAGAGTCACGTGGAGGTCAGAAAACAATAAGCTGCTCGAGTTTGGGTGGCATAGTTACAGGCTATTTATGTCCGATCCACCTCTTGGGTGTCTTAAGCATCAGCAATCAATCGAGGGAAACAGTCAAACCAATCGTCGTAGAAGCATAAAAATACTCCTCCTGGATTGTGGCTATGTCTTTAGCTTTGGGTCTAGTGGGAATCTGTGGTCATGAATTACCAGGATGGACAGAGTCTAGGTCAAATAATCTCTGATCAGTAGCAAACTACTCAGAAAACACGTTTTTTGAAATCTAAGTCTTTCGAGTACATGTCAGCTTCTAACACATATGCTATATAAAATATGAGTAAAGAATGTAAGTTATTTGTTAGCTACTCATGCCTTGGATTTAACTGCAAACGACTGGGATTCACCGTGACGATTTGAGTCGTCATCTGTCGGATTGCTATAATCTTCAGTAGCTCGCGCTCTTTGTGCTGTCATAATTTATAATAATAAATAAGTAAAATAATGGCAATTAGCTTTCTTTAGTGAATCAGGAAGAGCATTGGCCACTTGATGCTACTGTCGTTGATGGATTAATTTTCAATGTTTCAGAACAACTTACGACCAAAGATATTTTATGTAAAGGTTTTGTTGTTCCAGAACTGACTGAAGCTACCGATTCACCTTCGATGATGCTACGGCCGTCTGGAAATACTGTAATTCCTTGGAAATATTTGTGAAAGTTCTTGAACATGCTAAGAATGGCTTTATGTTACCTATGGAAGATAAGCATTTTCTTTTTCTACGCTAGTATTTCACAAATCATTTGAACCGCATAAAAGCCAGCAAGTGGGCATTGAGGTTCACGTGAATCTGCTCGTACTGCTTTGCGACTGCAGACAGCAGTGGTCTGGGAAAGGTTAAGTTAACTTGTAATACCTATGCTGTTAAGGGCAAATTATGATAACTTTGTTAATCTGTAACAACATGAAAGTCGTTGACTTGCTAGCAGTGAGGTGGGGTAATGGCGATGAAGGGGAAGACGAAGGTGGGGTCGAGGGTGACAGTGGGAGGTGGGGAGGGGGGTACAGCCTTGGTTAGGGAGGGGAGATGGGGGCGTGGGCCCCAAATAGATAACTTGACAGGACCTCACTCTAAAGGAGGGCGCTGAAGATGTTTTTTCCTATAGCAGTGAGGGCGAGAACCATCGCCTTGTTGATGCTGCGATCACCTCTGTTGCTGCTGCTGTTATAATTTTATTGTCTTTCCTGTTGCTGCTTCTGTTATCACTTCTGATGCTGTTGCTGCTGCTATTGCTCCTTTTCTCACTCCTGTTGATGTTTGTGTTCTTGTTGGACTTTAGCTACTGTTCCTGTTTCACTTATGTAAGACTTCTGTTCGAGAGTAGCTGTCTGGTCCTAATACTGTTTCTGTTTCTGCTGTCATTCCAATATTTGTCGAGCTTTCATTTCAGTTGTTATAGGCTGCAGTTTGTGACTGCACTTGTACCTGTTGCTACGGCTTTTACTATCTTTGTTTTGGCTATTGTTGTTAAGCTTGAAGGTGTACTACCGACACCTGCGATTGGACCTGCGCACACCTGTGTAACAAGCAACTGGTGGGATGCGCAAAAGTCTCGTGGGTAGTCGCCTGCCGCCGTTGGAGGAGATGCTGAGAACTGGAGCGTAAAAGAAAATATATTAAAGACGAATTTCGTGAGTTTAGACAAGAGATTCGCATGTAGCTCCATTCGTGTTTCCCAGCTGACCGTTTACCCGTTTACTCGATATGATAAATGGGTAAAGAGACGCTGCGCCCTGGATCATTGACATCTGTCAACTGCGCATCGCACAGTCAACGCATGCAATAAAGTCCCGTCTAAGCTAACACACATCGAGGAAACAAGCGCGATAAATGCGACGCAAAGGTCGGCTGGAGGTCAGGTTGGGTGACGTGCTCGTGTCAGGCCTTTGTGAATACAGAGAGGAGCGATGCGCCCGATGGGGGAGCGGCGCCTCTAAAATGGTGGAACTTCAACACGGAGGACAAGCAAAAGACAGACTACTTCACCTTCAGACTCCGATTCGGTGCTGCTGGAAGACTCCTTGGATGCCATGGAGAAGGAGGAGTGCTGCAGGAGGCGGAGGAGAGGAAAAGGTTTATCCAGAGAGAGCACCACCACCACCACCACCAGCACAGAGTTTGGGGAAGGCAGGGAGACTCGCCATCCCGGCAGAGAGCAACCACGTGTCTCTCGGGCGCTCTCCACATCAGCCTGGGCTGGCGGTGGAGTTGGGAGGGAAATCAATGACCGAGTTGCTAGATGAAGCTCCAGGCGCCTGGTGGAACCTGTGTAAAGCTTCCATTATGGCGGCTTCTCCGAGGCTTCAACCCAGCAAAGGAGATCTTCTCCATTGGGATTAACATTGACTGGACAATACAGGTACCCAGAGGACTGTTGTATGGCTCTCTCTTCGCCTTAATCAGCGCGGATTGGTCTTGGACGGGGAAATGTGTCGCAGCGAAGTGAGGTGGGACACACACAGCTACTGTTGTCGCTGCTGTTGGAGGTGGGAGAGGGAGAGAGCGATGACGCGGTCACGCAGGAGAGGGGGCGGCATCCCTGCTGGCCCCAGACAATCGGTTGGGAGAGGAGGGAGGCGCACCAGAGAGAGAGACACGAGATGAGAGGAGAGGAAGAAGAGGGTTGGGAGGAGAAGGCGAGCGACGGCCGCCTCTTCTGCAGCGGCGATTACAGAGTGAAGCGGCCGTGTTTATTACCCCGCAGAGTTATGACAGGTGCGGCAAGTTTATGGTGTGGACAAGACTGAAATATCGTACGATCCAGGGCCCGTGAGTAATCTTCATCTGGACTTGCCGGGTGTTTAAGTATTACGTCCGGACTATTCCGAGTTGAGCTATGTCCCAACCTGATTGTAGGGTCCTGGACACCTTGTTGAGTTAGCGATGCATACACGTGTCCTGAGGTCGCTGTCCCCAAGACCAGGATTACTGCCTGTACTCTTAAGGTGAATGATAGCAGATAACCTCAAGGTAAAAGACAGTCGATGCCATCAGGTGAGTGATAGCCGGTGCCCTCAAGCCCTTGATAACCTGTTTCCGCAGAGGGATGATCATCCAAATCTTCATGGGAAATAATAACAGATGTCTTCATGGTGAATGATAGCCACTATCTTGAAGTACATGACAACCTTTATCATACAACCTATCTTCCTGTTTAAATAGTAGTTTTTGTAACTATGT